GTGTGTGCGTGTGTGCGTGGTTGTGTGTGTGTGTGTGTGCGTGCGCGTGCGTGTGTGTGTGCATGTGTCCAACGTAGAGCGAAGTCGTAGTCGTGCATAGCAGCGTAGAAGTCAGTCGAAGTCGAGCGCTGTAGCCTAGGGTATGAAAAGTCGAAGGCGATTGGAGGGCAGGCGCGGTGTGGGTCCATTTTTTCCCGCATCGCTTCCAATATCGCAAAAAGTTGTTACGTGCGGGCGCTTGGCACTGGCCCTCCCGACAGTACCAATGCTAGCACGGGGCCCCAGTACCTTGTGTGGTACCGGCTCTGGTGCGTGGGCCCGGTACCAAGCGTGGTGCCGGCACTGGCGTTCGGGACCTGTACTGGCCCTGGCGACACTTTCTAAGAAAAAACGATCAGCAGACCATCGGGACCGTTGCACAGCAAAAAATCGGAGGGCCCCGATCGTCCACTTGTCAGAGGCAGGAACTTAGCGATAGTTATATATGTAGTGATCTATATGTGACATATATATGTGTGATATCGTTGTGTGGCATCTATGTGTAACATGTTTGTGTGACGTCTTTGAGTGATGTCTATGTGTGACATCTCTGTGTGACATCTATGTGCTGCATCTATTTGTGACACCTTGTGCTATACACTGATTTCAACCAATGAATGTGAGAGTCGTGACTTCGGAATGTGGCATGCCTGTCGTTTATCTCCCAGAAATTCATCCCTCAGCTCCAGCATAACTGCCGGGCTGCCATTCTGTGGAATATGTGCCACTCAGTGTGGTCAAGCATACTCAATATTTTATAGCAGTCGGTAACCACTGTTTTCCACGAGCGTAAAGCGGCAAAAAGTGGAGTGGCATTCCCTACCCCCCCCAAAAAAAAAGAAAAAAAAAGAAAAAGAAAGTGAGTGCCGTTCCCTGCAAAATAAGAATCAAACTTCGGCTACCTTCGCCCCCCACAAAACTCTCAGGAAGAGAAGTTAAGAGAGCCCCCTATGGAATCAAAATGCTCTGCTATTATGCGTGCAGTAGAAACCGCTGCAAACCACATAAAAAATGTGTAGGCATTAGGGTTTAGTGCTTACAGATCAGGAATTAGGTCTTACGGTTTAGGGTTTAGGGGGGGTTAGAGTTCAGTAAAAGGGCCTTTACCCGATATAGGCCTCAGGCCTTGTAAAAGAAAAGCAGCACGGGCCTTGAAAAAGTAAAGCATTGTGAAAAGGTATCTCGCCAGGGCTCAGAAACGTGAAAGCAGGTCAAAGGTCAAGTTCTCTATCAACAGGCACATCTAAATCTAAGGCAAAGGGCATTG